CGACTTCGTCGTCAAGGTCACTATCTGAATGGTATTCATACATATCTGTAGAATCTTCCTCTCCGTTTTGTAAATCCACGTCCAGACTCCCCACGCGGCTTTCCGCGAAGCCACCAGAGAGCACTAGAATTCAATTCGAAGATGGTAACACGGCCATTAGAAAGACTCGTGGCACGTAGGCCGCACAACGCGTACGTACGGTCAACGAAAAATTCTGACGCCGCATTGAGCGTTGTGCTGTTAGTGTAGACCGGGCGCGGCTGGTCGACCACGCCCGACACCGCCCGACGCGAGTACGCGTATATCTTGGTGTCGATGAACTTGCCGTCCACAAGCGCTGTCTGCAGCGCGGCGCGTAGCACCGCGCCCTTGGGCGAAAGGAGCGCGTTTGCCGATGTATGGAATTCAAGAGTAGAGACGCACGATGCCATGGTGGAAGACTACTACTCTCACAGGATGAAGGAGAATTGTAGGGAGGAAACTGTCCGAAGTTATAACAAAAAAAAACGTTGAAGAAGCGCACCAGAGTGGCGGCCATTCGGTACACATTGGTCGATTCGGGTAATAATAGATATGGGCTTGAACTCGACCCTAAAAACAAACAAAGAAAGCACAAGGCCTGATCGGTACAATAAAGCCTTATTCGCGGGCACGCGGGATCCAGTATACGTACACCTCCACTAATCGGCAGGTAATCCCTGCACCATCAAAAGCTGAGCGAGCTGCATTATCGAATAAACTCACAGAATAGACTCACCGCGCGAGAACGAGGCGTTTCAAGGGTGTAGCGATTGTTGCTAGAAGAGGTGTTGGCAATACGGGCCTTTGTTTTGATCCATTGTCAACATCAGACTTGTGACTGTCAGTTGACAAACGAAATTTACCTGCATAAGTAGTGTCAATCTTCTGCTACTCCCAGTGCAATATGATAGTGCGTGGACGTTTCTTGGAGACATTCAGCTTAGGTTCACCTTTGAGCACATGGCGAGACCAAAGTTTCTCCGGTGAACACATAGGATATGAATGCTCGCACTGTTCTGAGAACTTTCCCGTCCTTTATCTGTTCTCGGAGTGTGCAGTTGCGATTATGGTTCGTCACGAACACATGAAGCAGCGCCCCGATGGCACGCCAAAGTGGTGGCCTCCTAGCACGCTTCGGGAAAGAACACAGACGGCTTCGAATTCAACCGAACAACAAAGAAATTAGCAGCAAAATCGCAAAGATTGGCCGCAACGAATGAGGTACAAAAGCCTTATGTGGACGGCCACCATGAAGTCCAATACAAGCCGATCTCAAACAGATTTGCGGTCGAGTGCTTCATCTCTCCGAGGCCTTCCCAAGTCCAGCCCGGGTGAAGCAGGCATTTGCTCACGCGCCATGCAAGTCACTATCGGAGACGGCAGCAAATTGACAACGAGGCACTGAGATAGCGGGAAAATGCAGAATTTTAAAGAATACACGTAAAATGAGAAGCGTAGATAAAAGACGAGAAAAATGTAGGAGGCTGTAGTAGATATACAAACGCCTGACGAGCGCCTTTACTCCGAGTCGCTGTGTGCAGCCTGCGCCACCGCCACTAGCTGAGTTGAGATTCGCGATCAACGCTGAGTGACATATATTCATTGCACCGACGACTATGGATCACAAAAACATTACATCATCCCTAGACTTTCCAAAGTCCTCAATTTTTTTCAGAGAACTCAGAGAGGAGTCATCGTCATCTAGTCTTCTGATCGGCATAGAGTACGGCTCATTAGAAATATGCGAGGTCTCGGTTCAAATGACGACCGTACACCTCATTAAAACATCAAAACATCAATCTAATTCACATCCAACTGTAGGCAATTCGACAATATGTATGCAACCTAGCCAAGTATACTAATACATCTCAAATGCTGGCAAAATTCACATAATGATTCGCTCCACAGCTGCTGCAATAGATTTGAACCTGGGTAGAACGGATATGACCGTTCGGACACCGCTTGACCTTGTCGAGCGAAGCCTTTGTATCGCTCAGCTCTTTCCTGAGCTGAGAGCCCGACAGGCCGTTTCCGTTGTGGCTCGCTACAAACTGCTCGAGCAGCGCCGTGATGACGAGCGTTGCGTGAGGTACGCCGTCCTTCACCATGTGTGCGACGAGCCGCGGAATTGCAGCGCTGACGTCAGGCTGGAATTCATCCTTCATGAGAAAGTCGAGTTCCGCCTTCTTGATCTCAGTGTACCTGAGGTATGTCAGGCGGGGAGAGGGCGCGGGCAAGCGGGCAAATTACCTAGAGGTGAACGCAGAGAGGAACTCGTCAAGGATGTTTTTCGACGAGAGCTTGGATTTGATGTCGTTCAGCGCAAGCTCTTGCAGCTCTTTGATGTCACACTTGCGTCGGCACGATTGTCAGTAGGAAAGGTGTTCACAAAGGGGAGTATAGATACCATATGAGCCAAGCGATACATCGACTTTGGAGAACAAGGCGGCGGCGTAGGCGCCTTCCTGTTGTCAGCAGCTTCGGGCTGCCTGCCGTTTTCGTGTTCCAGTTGTGATTTGAGTGGTGCGAACTTTATCTCGCCAGTAAACACGTAGAATATGAACGCGCGCAGTCTGAACACGGTCAAAATCAAGGAGCGACGTCGTTTGGCGCAATATGCACGTACGTTTTGTATGCCATGTTCTTCATGAACACCGTCCTCCCATAGCGACGTGTGCTATCCACAGTCGGAACAGCTTGAGAGCTCGTGCTTGTGTCGTTGTGGGAGTTGCTCAGGCTAAACAATGATAGCGCTCCCTGCAGGGAAATGGAAGTCAGCCAATTTTCGTGTACCAAACGAATACATTACGCACTGTAACTTCAATCTCACCGCCCGCAGACGAAATTGCACGATCGGCCTCGTCTCCTGCCACTACAGCAGCATCGTCACCAGCCCCATCGACTCTGCCGAGGGGATGGGTGGATGCGGCTGCATCGGCTGGGACGTCCTCATCCTCCAAGTCGCTGTCTGAATAGTATTCATACTCATCTGCCGAGCCCGTCTCCCCACTCAGGGAGTCTGCATCCAGACTATTCACGCTACTCTCTGCAAAACCCCCGGACAGGACTGCACACGAGCGTCAGGACGGTTCTAGGCATGACAACCATACATGAACATATGTACCTGTGTCAAAGTAATTCGATACCTCCGTCAGCGTCTCGCTGTTCGCGTAAACGGGCAGGGGGTGATCGACCCCACCCGACACAGTCCGGCGCGAGTACGCGTAAATCCTAGTATCGATGAATTCCCCGCCCGTCAGCGCTGTCTTGAGCGCGACTCGCAGCACCGCTTCCTTGGTCCTCGGAAAGTCTGGGGCTGGGGAGGACGGTCGTAGCGCGACGCGCCATACTGTGCTCTCGGTTAGGTCAGGCTTGCGTTTGCCCTTTTTCCCCTCTTTGCGTCTTTGCTGTTGGTTGGCGATCGACGGAGACGAAGCCATGGTGCTGATAGAGAACAGATACACGGAGACAGGAGGTGCGTCTGTGCTTTATTAGTGGGGACCACAGGCTAGAAGCATCGAATGATTCTAGCCTGTGACAGCAAGGATACCACGAGGCAGACATGGGGCCTTGTTTCTAACTTCGCGAAGACGAGGATGGTTCAAATGTGATGATAGAGATAGATGTGAGGTCCGCATCGATGCGAACGGCTGCGGAGCCTGTAATACGTGTTCGTGTACCTGGTTCTGTAGATGCTATGAAGGCATTCTAAATCGGCCTTGGTCTAGATACGGAGATGGGTAAGCACGTACGCTGCGTAGATGGTCCATCAGCGAGGGTTAACCTATCCCTAGACGTGCGACGAAGGCACATTTCTGCGGCACCCTCATTCATTGGCAATGTCCGTCACGGCAACTGACCAGGCAGTCGTGAGTCAACGAACCCGTTGAACGCGGAGAGTATACGAAACCACGACCGAAAACATAACTCGCTGCTTCACGGCATGAATGTATGTCAAACACCTCTCCGCCGATGCGCCTCCGCCACTGGCAAATAATGTTCGCTAGTGCATGTGACTCACCCAGCATTTCGAAGCTTCAATGTCGACATGTGGCGAGAACAATACCAGCCCCGTCCGGAAGTCGTTGATAACGGCCACCCCAAACAGCACCGATCACGGCGGCGGCATTCAATGACTGCGCTCGGGTTGGCGCACACAGCATTCACGACATACATGCACGAACCAGACCGTAATCATATGTGTGAATGCTCACTGGTCCCACGAGAAGGCATCGCCCATAAACGCAGAGACCAATGAGCATCATACATCGCCTGAACGCGTGATCCTATCCTACACAAAATATAATATCCCTTTCTGGGGGCAACTACGCAGTGCGCCACAGCGCCTCACACATAGTAATACGTGCCGCAGTTGTTGCAGTACACCTGCGTCTGGGCGGTCCGGTTGTGACCATTGGGGCATTGCCGCGCCTTCTCTAGTGACGCCTTGGTGTCGGCTAGCTCTTTTTGGAGTTGCGAGTTTGACGAGGCGTGCGTGCTGCGGCCGTTATGGCTCGCCACGAGTACCTTGAGCAGCGCCGTGATGACATGCCCGCCGTGCGGGACGCCGCTCGCAGCCATGCGGCCAACGACCCGCGGCATCACAGCGACGACATCGGATGGGATGTCTCCCTTCGTGAGGAAGTCAAGCTCGGCTTGTTCGACGTCGGGGTACCTGGAAGAGGTAAAGGGTCAATGAGGAGAGCGCTCAAGATGAGCGAGGAAAGCACCAAGAAGTAAATGTAGAGAAGAGCTCGTCGAGGATATTTTTCGACGAGAGCTTCATTTTAATATCGTTCAGCGCGAGCTCTTGTAATTCTTTGATGCCACACTGCAGTAATGTCAGTCAGTCAAGGAGCAGGGCCGTAGGGGTGACTGTATGCACCATCTCCGCCAAGCGATACATCGATTTTGGGGAACAAGATGGCGGCGCAGACGAGTTACTATCGAAGACAACCTCAGGTTGCCCTTCGTCCAGGTGATCCAGCTGCGACTTGAGCGACGCGAACTTGACCTCGCCAGTGAACACATAGAAAATGAACGCCTGCAGCCTGTTAACAGTCGAAGATGAGGGATCGATCACGCGCTTTACGTGAGATGCACATACGTCTTGAATGCCACATTCTTCAAGAACACTGTTCGACCGAAACGCCGTGTATTATCCGTAGCTGGAGCAATCGACGAGCTGGAGGCAGTAGAGAAACGATCTGTTCCAAGCAACGAGAGGGCTCTCTGAATTGAGATAATGTCAGGCGAGTCGGATACGTCGCGAAATAATCTAATACCGCTGTCTCAAACTCGACGCCTCCTGGAGAGCCTACACGATCATCGCCGGTCGCTGCAGCGGCATCATCTCCTGTCCCATCAGCTTTGCTGTTGAGCTGAGTGGATGCAGCCGCATCGGCCGCGACGTCCTCGTCACCGTCCACAACTTCGTCTTCAAGGTCACTGTCCGAATGGTATTCATACAGATCTGTAGAACCTTCCTCTCCGCTTTGTAGGTCTGCATCCAAACTCTCCATGCGACTTTCCGCGAAGCCCCCCGATAGCACTAGAATGTAAATATATGCATGGTCGTTAGAACGACTTGTAGACCACACAACGCGTACGCACGGCTGACGAAAAACTCGGACGTCGCCTTGAGCGTCGTGCTGTTAGCGTAGACAGGACGCGGCCGGTCTACTGCGCCCGATACCGCCCGACGCGAGTACGTGTATATCTTGGTGTCGATGAACTCCCCGCCCGCGAGCGCCGTTTTCAGCGCCACGCGCAGCACTGCGTCCTTGGTCGGAGGGAGCGGGTCTGTAAACGTGGGAGGTCGCTGGGGGCCTTTGCGATTTATGTTGCCCTTTTTGGATGATTTCTGTGCATGACGAGATGTCGAGGCGGATGATGCCATGGCGCGAAGCTGCTGGCGGAGGGAAGATGTGCGAAGAAGGGTACGTCCGCGCTTTTATCAGTGATGAGAGCGCCCTGGTAGTATTCATGCCAAAGCATTCCGTCTGCAATGGCGTGGATACCACGAGGCAGACATGGGGCCTTGTATCTGACTTCGCGAAGACAAGGATGGTCCGAATGTGACGGTCGAGATAGAAGAGAGGCCCATATTGATGCGAAGAGTCTGAGAAGCCTGTCATGCGTGTGCGTGTACGTATACCGGCGGGAGCTTGGGGGTTCGTATATAATTCTGCATATACTGTGTAGATATATTGCACCCGAAAGAGACAGCGCAGCCGGCTTCAATAGAGCGCGTATGGGGTGTGAACGACCAAGATGTTCTTTCGCTTGTAACGTCTGTACATGAATGCATGATGCTACCACCATCGTCACATTAGACCGAAGGTCACAAACTGTGTCTAATGTCAAAAAAAATCACAATCAACATAATATAAGGACTGGATAAGCACGTACGACGCGCATACAGTCCATCAGCCGATCCAAAAACGTGCTACAAAGACGCATTCCTGCGGTGCACCCAATCGACAACGTCCGCCAAGCCCGAGACGATCTCGACTGCAGACAGGTTCTCATCCGCATCTTTCATCTCGCCTTCGCCTTCTGCGCCCGGCCGGCGAAGCAGCAGGGCGGCGAGTCCGCTTGCTTGCGCACCGTAGTAGTCACTACCGAGGAGAAAAGGGCGTCAACGTAGGGTCGGGGGAGTAAAGAGAGAATAAAGGAAGGAAAGAATGAGTCGCAGCAAAAAAAACAAAAAAAGGAGACATACGCTTTGAGTTCGTCGCCGACGTGCAATGCCTCCGCTGGGCGGAGGCCGATGCGTGTGCACGCGCGGAGGAAGATCTCGGGGGCGGGCTTTTCGATTCCCTCCTCTTCGCTCAAGAGGACAATGTTGAGGTGCCGTGTCGCGTCGAGATCGTCGAGCACGGCGCCTGAACGGAATGTGGACGTTGGACAAAATGATTCAGCATTGATAAAAGCAGCAGGGCAGGCGGCGGGGACAGAGCTCACGCATACGGGTATCGGTGTTGCTGATGACACCGGTGAAGACACCGGCAGCCCTGAGGCTCTTCACTATTGGCGAAACGCGGCGCAATGTTGGGGGTGAGCGGGGCGCGGAGAGAAGGATGACGGGGAACGCACGGGCAGGGAGGGTATCGGGAAAGAGCATGTATCCCTCGCGGGAGGCGAAGCGGTGGAGGAGGCGGGGGACGATTTGCGGCAGGGAGCGATCTACGGCTGGGGGAGAGCATCGGCGGAAGGGAACGGAGATGCGAGAGCTGGTGCTTACTGGGAGGATCTGCGCCTGCGCCGACGGCCGTGCGCCGGATGACCTCGGCCCACCACTCGCGTGCGCCGCTCTCGTACACCGGCTTCTCGGCCTGCAGCTGCTTCAGCGCTGCAGGACGTCGGGTCGATCAGAGAGTGAGACGGAGACGCAGGTGGGCGGGTGCGTACCGGACTTGAAGGACGTCTTGAGTGTGGCAGGGTCGAGGGAGCCGAGGAAGGGCTCGAAGGTGTGGGCATACTGGAGGTAGATGGGGAGGCGAGGAGTGAGGAGAGTGTGGAGGGCGTCGAAGAGGACGAGGCGGACGGGCATCGTGCAAGCCGCCCGGTGGCGGTGCGAGTCTATGAGACAGGCGGGG